TGTCTTGACCTCCTTTTGAGAAGTATCACTACCGCTACCATTTTTTCCCCATTTCTTCTTCCTAGATATGGCACAATGGAGTGTAAATGCCTCAACTAAATTCCTTTTTGTGGACTCCTTATTCCTTCGACAAAACTCATGATTTAATAACATTGCTACCACCTCATTATAATTAAGTAAATCCTTCCTATGAATGTGACAGCGTGAGTTTTCATGCTTAACCAAGAAAAAATTTAATAAAAGAAGTGTCTTGCCTATATCTACAGCCTCCTTACCCAAATTTAACAGATGTGTCAAAAGATTTGAAAAATTATATAGGAGCTCACAACTAGTAACCCTACGTCTCATTTGAAACTTGTAGAGCTGACACTTCATATGGAGACGATTTCACATGCTTCATGACATATTTGTTCTCTAACATCCTCCACAATTTTTTTGCAGAAGTCTACATTGTCATCCCATATTTGAACTCTTGAGAAAAGAAATCTCGAATCAAGCCACAAGTACTATATTTTATCTTTAACTAATCTTTTTCTAACATCTCCCTAGGAAATTCATCACTATCAGAAACATCCTTCAGATTCAAAAAGAACATAACACATCCATTATCTCACATTGTCACTTACCAAAAATTTATGTCATCAAAGTGTTACCATTTGATCAATTAGCATGTGTGGTGGATGTTTAAGTGCCTAACAATATTATATTATCAATGACTCCACCAAATCTCGTATTATAACTTCTTCCAATCTCTTTGTCTTGTGTTTGCGACGTCATCAAAATCGCAACAAACTGTTGGCAGCATCACATCAATATGGTTGTATTGCCAAAGGTTGCTGAACACAATGCATAAAACAAAATCATTTAACAAAATAAATAAATAAATAAATAAAATACGGTGCGATTTACGCGGTTGAGACAAATCCTGCTACGTTCACAATGACAGGTTATTCCACTATTAATAGGTGTGGAGAAAAAAACGATCAAATTAGGGTTACAATTCCACATATTAAAATTAGATATAATCCCCCGAAAAAATAAGAGATGATTATAGTATACTAATAAGAAATTAGAAAATGCTCTATGTACCAAATTTTATAAATAATCCTATAATACAACCGATAAAAATTATAGGAGAACAAAGAAAGGAGGCCATATATCACAAAATGTAAGGAGATTTATAATCAAATTATGTTATCAGCTAGCAAGAATATTCATCACTTCCGGCCATGTTAGAGCACCTGTAAGGTTTTAAATATGTCAAAGAACGATGTTTAAAAGATACTTTTGTAATGGTTTCTTTTCCACTAATCAGTAGCAACCTAATACTGTGAAGTGGCTTTTGGAGAATCCAGTTATTTGTCAAGTGGTGGAATCTCCGCCAACTGCAGAAAATAATGGAAGAAAATAAAGTTGATCTCACGAAAAGCCAAGACATGCAAGACATATGAAAGTTTTACTTCCGGACACGTTGCACTTTTTCTCATAAAAGCAAGTAATTAACTCTTGTTGAAGTCTGAGAACGTACACTTACTTTTTCTTATAAAAGCATGTAATTAAGTCTTGTTGAAGTCTGAGAAGTTACAGTTATTTCAAACGTGCTAAACCTCCAATCATAAGTCAGCGTACTAAAATTTATAGTTAGTCCAATCAGTACCGTTTGGTTGCAGACCCATAAATTTGAAGTAATCATGTGCATGTTTACTTAAATATTTAGCATGAGTATTGGTTTTTAATGTAAAAGCACAAATTGCAAAAAATCTATAATTCTATGCTTAAAGTAATATAACAGTACATAATTCAAATTAAATAAAGAATATTAATAATAAATGTTGAAAAACATATTTAAATATAGTGAAATCAAATTTAGTGCAATATAAAAGGAATTATCAACCATAGAAAATTTTATTAAAATAAAAACTGAATGATAAGTGAACTTTATCAAATTCAAAAAAAAAAAAAATTGTAGCTCTTTTCGTGACAATGATAAATAAATATAATGATATATGATGAAAAGAAGAATTAAGATATGAGAGAATTTAAAATTAATTGTAGCAACTGTCATCCTTGACTTCTCTTATTGTTATAATTATATCTCTTTGAATTCTATCACAAAAATAACAGTTCATTGAATAAGTTTATTTTTTAAATAATATAAAAAACTAAATAAATGAAAATTCAAATAAATTAGAATTCAAAAAAATAATAGATTTTAAAAAAATATTTTAACTAGTAATAATATAAATAATTAAATAATATTTTTTTATTAGATATTGTATGATGTTTGATTGAAGAAATGAAATCAAATTAAAGTTAAAAACGAGTATTCAATGTGAGAGAAGTCATAAGTCACTTTTAAAATAGGAGTAAGACTATCTTCTCATATTTTCAAGATCTAACTAATAAAATTTTGTCAAATAAAATATTAATAATTAATTGAATTATTTCTCAACAATTACATAAATGATACAATATCAAATTTTGATAGGCTAAAATTTTAAAAAAATCAAGGATCTTGAAGGAATAAGTACTCTTTAATTAATAATTAAAAGTACAATTCATTAATTCATATATTTTGTTGGTTAGATATTGGATGACTATAATTATATTCATAAAATTAAATTAAACTAAAGTATGAGGTTTCAATATGAGGAAAATCACAAAATTTTATAATTGTAGTAAGATTTGTTAAATGCTTCATGTATAGATTATCCACACACAAAAAATAGAAATAAGAAAAAAAAATCTCTAAACATTCCAATTTTATTGTATAAAGAAATTAAAATTTCAAAATAGAAAGAGTTATATATTAGCTTTCTTAACACTTCAAATATAAAATTCAATCTTACAAGACATGTCACGCTGCCACTGACAAAAGGAAATCTAACTAAACAACTATTTTGTCACTAATGACGAGTCTTATTTCTGACACCAATTCTATAAACATTCGGTTGAAAAATTAAAAGCATAAAAAAGACGAAGTTCAAAGATTTGGATTGATGATTTTTGAAAAAAGTAATAACTTTGAATAAAAAAATATATTTCAGATTTACCAACATAGGAGAGCATGGAAGTGTTTAATTAAACAAAGAATTTAAAAATTTTAACATGTTCAAGAAATGCAAGTATAACTCTTCTTTAATGGTAAAATAAGTGGAGTAAAAAATAGTTATCTGTAGATTATTAAATTATTAAAATTATATCCAGCCAAAATGATGCAGAAAACTAGTTATTGAAACCAAATCGTTATGGAATAGAGCATTGGAAGGATGTCAATAATATGATTATCATATATTTGCATCAAGCCAATGCAACTTTCTTAGCTCTTACTCATGTTTTTGCACCTACTTTCTCTTGGTCGCTCATGTTCCATGCCTTTTCACAGTTGGTAATATGAAAAGCAACTACTTTGAGGAGATAATCAATACTGGTCCATTCATCATAATCAAAGATACCACCTCATTAGAGAGCTCTACCTTTCTCATTATAGACCGCAAGTTTAATATGCAAAGCATTACATAAAAAGCTCGATTAATATTAGTATTTTTCATTTAGGAAAGATAATGAACATTACCATATATGAGTTGGCTCATTCACCAAATAAAAAAAAAATAAAAACCAAAATCATCAACATTAAAGGTGGAAAATAGTATGATTATTTTATGACTAATAAATTTCATGACAAATATTGTTTGGAAAAATGTTATGCACTACAAAACTGCCAAAGAAATTCTGAATGCAATAAAAGAGACTACTCCAATGTTAGCATTATTTCAAACATATCTAGAGTCCAGAGAATTTATCATGACCTATGACGTGATGATTCTGACACAAGACATATCTACTCCTTATCTCATATTAACAACTTGTCATCATTGAGAAAATAGCATAGAGGTTCATAAAAATAAGCAAAAAAACCAAAAGATAGTTGAACAGGAATAAGTTTACAATTTAAGAATTGACGTAAGAAAAAATTTAGATGAATTCCATGTGAGAAATTAAGCATAAAGGATCTTTCCCAACATTTGTGAGGCCTTCTTGAGGCCAATTGAATCAAATTCAGCAATGGGAGTGATAAACGCGAAACGACAACCACAATTAAATGTGATTATTTCTGCAAAAAAAATGTATCATAATTGTTGATAAACTGCATAATCATGAAATTAAAGGCAAACTGTCATCTTCAAGACTATTGCCAGTTGACACAAATACATTCAACAAATAGAAATTTAAATACATTCAACGAATATCTCAACAACCACTAAAGTCTCAACAAAACCTGCAAACTTTGGTTATGTCCTATGAAAATATGGTAGCCTTCTAAAAGATCTGATGACTACATCTAGGAATGAAAGATCCCTCAACATGGATGCTTTTGATTACTTGTCTGATGATAGTTTTATTTTCCATGAGCAAAAACCATGCTCTGAGAATATTTTTATTGAAATGGGAGGTGGAACCCTTTCTATTGTTCCTGACATGTCATAAATTGAAAAGACATTTTCATTAAATTTATACTTCAATTTACAAAATTTGTTTGCATCCTTTTTTTAATACTAAAATAATAAAGGTTATTTATTGCTAATAAATTTCTCCCAGACCTCCCTCATATATGATATTATCTTTATTTAGATGTATAAATTCATTATTACGTTTAACTTTCTTCTTGCTAGCTTTTGAACCATCCATTCCTCTTCTAAGGCATTCGTAGCTGCAGAATCAACAGTTGCAACATATAAATTCTAATTCAGAATAGTTTGAGAGCCATTTGTCAAGTGAACATTGCCTCCGTCTCAAGTGGTAAGGAGATTAAGGATGCGTTTGGCGCAGCTTATTCTCTGCGTCCGGCGTTTTCAAAATGCCGTGTCGGCGTTTGTCCGGGCGTTCGCTCCTGCGATCGCTAAATGCAGCGATTAAAATAGGAGTCCTTCCATTCGGTCCTTGCGTGCGATTTTGACCCCGCAGCCCTCGTCCTCCCCGAAGTCTCCGGAACAGATCGTAGATCTCCGCACCTCGCCCCGTTCCGCTGTCGATCTCGTCTCTACGCTCCTCTCTGCTGTCGTAGATCTCCGCACCTCGCCCCGCAGCCCTCGATCTCTACCGCACCTCGGGTATGTCGTAGATCTCCGCACCTCGCCCCATTCCGCTGTCGATCTCGTCTCTACGCTCCTCTCTGCTGTCGTAGATCTCCGCACCTTGCCCCGCAGCCCTCGATCACTACCGCACCTCGGGTATGTTCGCACCTCGGGTATGTCGTAGATCTCCGCACCTCGCCCCGTTCCGCTGTCGATCTCGTCTCTACGCTCCTCTCTGCTGTCGTAGATCTCCGCACCTCTCCCCGCAGCCCTCGATCTCTACCGCACCTCAAGTATGTTGTCGATCGCCGCTCTCGTTTTATGGAAATTCCGCTACAGCTACATCTAAAGCCTTTTTGTTTCATATGTGATCGTCGATCGCCGCAGATCGGATCGAAGTCCTGCCATCTAAATTTTTTAAAGCTTTGGTAGAATGATTTGTTTTGTATTTAAATGCCTAAAATTTCATATCTGAAACAAAATTAGTATATTTTAGCACAATATTTCGAGTTATATAAAGCCTGAAAAATATTGTAAAGATAAATACACGTATCATAGCTATGATAAGATTATTTTGTTGCCACTACTTTCTTCAATAAAGGTCTTAGGTGAGAGTTTAAGAATTAACAAAATGTAAAACATTAAAAATACTATGTGACACTTCAACAAGATCTTTGAATGTTCAAGCATGTTACAAATATTCTGATATGGTCATCGCATTTGTTTTGATTCCTAAGGAATGCTAATTAGCATTTCATTCAAAGCTTCTAGAAGATGTATAAATGCATGAACCAAGCATGGTTGAAGCTAATCAAATTAAATAAATGATAACTCAAGAACATTCTTTGGAAAATGCAATAGAAGCAAAATATAACTTACAGTTATAATATCTAATTCAGATATTCTTGGATCTGAATTTGCACCTAAATTAGATCATATTCATCAACTTGAAAATATTGCTTAATCAAGAACCGGAAGTAAGGTTTAAAAGTAAAATTCAGGGATCCTATCTGAATTTGCACCTACAATTGTTTCATTAAGGTCACTATAAGAGCTAATTGAGTTTGATGTTAAGGATGAAAATGGTAATAGAATTGAGGAGTCGGAACTTATGAGTGAGTTGCTTAATAAAAATCCATTTTCTGGAAATGTGAGGGAGGCAAGAGAGGCTAGCATTTCAAAATCATTTGAGAAGACAAAGCTTACAGATTTGATTCATCCTTTGGTTTCTGGCATATCTAATACCTGAAATTTGCGTCCTACACCATGCTTTGAGGTGGCTTGAGCTGTGCAAAGTAGTTGGGGTTATTTATTTATTTTTTTTTTTCTTTTGGAGATCCTCAACACCGTTCTGAGTATTGATTTCATTTGTTGCATCACCTACATATAAAATCAAAGCCTTGGAATGGTTCTCAGTCAAGTTTTCAAGCAATTATTTCTTGTGTTTGCTCCGTCACTTAAAAGTGCTTTCACACAATCCTTATTGTTTTGATTATTTAGTTTTTTTTCAGTTTGTTGGTTCCATGACATGTATGATCCTTGATTCATTTTTTTGCATAAAGCTATTCTTAATATGTTTTTATTCAGAGTAGTTACACGAACCTGCTGTTGAATCATGTCTAAAGTGGTTAACGGGGGCCAGTCCACAATGTGGGACAAAAGCGTTACAAATATTTTTTGTGATTTGTGTATTAAAGAAATAGAGCTGGGTAACAGACCAACAACGTATTTTAATAAGGAAGGGTGGAATAACATTGGCAAGAGATTCAAAGAATTGACTGGTAGGGATTACGACCGCCTTAAATTTAAAAACAAATGGGACCAGCTGAAGAAGGAATGGAAAATATGGAAGGAGTTGAAGCGTGGATCTACCGGTCTGGGTTGGGATCCGATTAAAAGGACAATTGATGCTCCAGCTGAATGGTGGGCTGAAAAACTAGAGGTAATTTATATATAATTCATGAATTGTTAGTTTCGCAAATTATTTTATCTAATTATAATTTTCTAACTATCCCCTTTAAATGCTATTCCACAGGTGGTACCGGCAGTGAAGAAGTACAAACAGTGTGGAATAGAGCCGGAATTTGAAGAGAAATTGGACATAATGTTTAAATGGGTTGTCGCAACAGGAAAGTTTTCATACAACCCAATTGAAAGCGGTTTTACAGGGATACCAGATGAGATCACACCTGATCCAGTGACACCCGATGAAGAAGTTCAAAGCATTAACCAGAGGGATATGGGGGAGTCCAGTACAATTTTAAAGAGGCCAAGGATTGCTAAGAAAAATAAAGAGAAAGAACATGCTGTGAACACCTCCTTCGACCGTTTAATTGAAGCTTTTGCAGCTCCACCAATATCTGAAG